TCTTTCTACCACGTGTAAGTACAAAAGTAAAGATCCCTTTTTTACGCCTTTAGGCGTGTAGGGCATATAGATCTATATTTTTATAGACGAATAGGCACAAGACGGGTGATGTGGTCAGCATCACACCGGCCGCCTTTACTTTCCGGGACTATACCCAGTACCCACTCAAGGCTGGGTCGACCTGGGAGTCAAGGTCATATTTTTTTTAAGTCCGGCCCCGTCTGGAAGCGAACCCACGACCTTCCGATCCGCACACGAACGTCTAGCCGCTACGCCAAGGCGACTCCCCTTCTACCGCGTGTAATTGTAACAATAACTGTTCATCCTCTCCGGTCTAGAACTTGAGGTTTGTGTACGCATCCGTTTTACAGATCTGGCTTATTTGTATGCAGACTATTGGTTTCTCGCCTTTCAGGCATACTTACTCCAGATTCAAAGGAAACACCCGTAATTAGTCGCCTCTTTTGACATGGAAAAAAAAACTAAGTTCTAGAACAAGACCAACGTCCAGAAGTGGACGAACAACCATAACTTTTTGCTGGAATTTACTACAGCCGATAAATGCCGAGAAAAGGATCCTTTTTGTCACATGTAGGAGAAGGAAGATGAGGATAAGAGTATTGCATTTCCAGATGCCTTCTGAAGATTCAATTAAGAAACCACACCCTCTGGGATCTAACTTTGTTTCTAATCTCGGTACTGTGTCCATGATTTACAGCCATAAAACATTATGGGAAGTATCTGATGCGATTAGTTTTGTACATGCTGCGTGGGTTACAGAGCCCTTTTAGGAGCTGGGGGATGGTGTATTAGGGGGGGGGGGCAGTAGACATAACGCACTGCCCCACTTACAAGTATATTGTAAAAGTCGCCTAATTATGGATATTTTCGGAGGGCACAAACACTAAGGTACTGGAAAGAGCAGGTACTACAACAGTCTTGTCCATGCTCAGTCTACCAAGGCTCAGGTGGCTTGGTCACACCTGGAGAATGGAGGATCGCAGAGTCCCTAAGGACATCGTTTATAGTGAATTAAAGACTGGAAGAGGATGTCAAGGCCGACCTCTACTACGGTAAAAAGATATGTGCAAGCGGGACATGAATGATACAGATAATAAGGTGGACTCATGGGAACAAAATGCCATGGACCGTGTTGTGTGAAAAGGGCATATCAGGAAGGGAATGAGACTGAAGGAAGAAATAATTACAGAAAGAATGAGAGCTGAGCGTATGAAAAGAAACGGATTAAACACAGATGTTGGCAACAATTGTCCTGAAATCCCATGCTATCATTGTGGAAGACTTTTCTTGATACGGGCGGGTCTTGCTAGTCATACTCGCCATCGCCATGGGTTGTGAGTATCGTGCCTCCTCATAGCGCAATATAACACTATCTTTTGGAAAGACGGAAAGGTGCCAATCAATCAGTCAATCGGAGTGCCTCATGCCTGAGAGGCGATGAACCAACAGTCTGCATAGAAATAAGCTGATCTGTAAAACGAGTGTGTACGCAAGACTCAAGTTCTCACATAAGAACAAAGTCCAGAAGTAGACGAACAACCAGAACTTTCTGCCGGAGCTTCAGTCAGTGAACGTGAAGAAGGCCTACATAAGCTTGCACGAGGTTAAAGGTTACGGAAGGGTATTGTCACCGTCAGCCAGCTGGACTAGAGTGATAGGTCAAAGGTTATTCTTCTCCCCCATTAGCTTTTACCGCTTCGGATGTCGAGGGAGATTAAGTTTAGATTTAGACGATGGATCAACATCATAGCACAAGGGTAGTAACCCATAGGTGCTATGCACGTCCGGCTGTATAAATCTGGAGCTGGCCGTGGGTGCTATGTTTTACTTTTGACTCAAGCCTGAGTCCGAAGAATCTCAGCGCAGTGCACAAACTCCGAAGCACCGGTAAGGATCCTGAAATACTTTAGGAAGATTTTTAACTCCAGATTTTTTTCTTTCTATGTTGTTCTTGGACAACCTCGCGTTCTTTGTCCAACCTTCTCTTACGTAATATGACGTGACAAGGTATTTTCTCAAAGTGGGAAACCCATTTGGTTTGCTGTCTTTGTATGTAATTTATAATTCTTTCTGTGCCGACTTTTTCTCGTTTGACCTCATTCATGATTTGATCTCTTCTGGTCAGTCCTGCAGCCCTTATACATCTTTTTTCCATGGTTAATAATTTTTTCTTCTGGGTTGTTGTGAGTGACCAAGTCTGGAACTGGCAGCAAGGGTTGCAATAATGGTAATTTTTTTATCTAATTTGCCATCTTCGGTAGTTTGTCTGCAGTCGTTCCCATATGGGATAAAATTTTCCGTTATTCGAAGCCCCACCCTGACTTTTGCCGGGGCCCCTGAATATAGCCGGGCCATAAATATGGCCTAATGGCTGAAAGGGTTTTCTGGGACCTCTCCACGGGTGATCCTCATCCGCATGGTGGCACTTCATGTCCACGGATGTTTATGGCTTGTGTGATTTCCTGGTGGTATACAATAAGAGAAAGAGAGAGAGAGAGAGAGAGAGACAGGGAGGGAGAGAGAGAGAGAGAGAGAGACATCTTTGGTAAATGTTGTTTCCAGATATTTAAACTTAGATGAATGTTTAATGGTTCTGCATTCTACTGATATATTTAGGTTCTGCTTCTTTCTTCCAAATGGCAATAGCTCTGTCTTTTCAGTGTTGATTCTCATATTATTTGTTTTACATTCCTCATTCATGACTGCGCGATGCTGTTGCAATTTAATGGTTGTATCTGCTACAAACCATGAAGGAATACCAAGGGTTTCGAGTGGGAAGTATGTGGAGTTTCATTGGGAAGATGGAATTAGCGTGGGGAATAAATAGAAGAATATCGACGGAAAGAGAGAATTAGTGTGGGAAGTAGAAGAAAGTGATGACAGGAGGGGGTTAATGTGAAGAATAGATAAAAAAATAGCAATTGGAAGATGGGTTTTGAGAAAAGAATATCGATGGGAAGATGGGATTAGTGTGGGAGTAGAGAGAAGAATAGCGATGGGAAGAGGGGATTAGACTGGGAAATAGAAAAGAACGTATGGATAGAAAAAGGTATTAGGAAAACAGAGACAGAAGGAGAATTAGAGTGGGAAATAGCAGGATCGAGTTAAAGATGGACTGGGTGAGAAATAAAGAAATAAAAAGGGGATCAGAGTGGGAAATATATAAAAAATGTATTGATAGAATGATGAAATTAGAGAGGGGAATAGAGACAGAAAAAGAGATATACAGCTGTGAATATACAGACCAAGTTTTTTGGGGTTTTGTTTTAAATAAGAAGCTATCATTTAAAAGTCACACAAATAAGTCGGTGGGAAGCCAATCAGGCAATGAAACAACTGACACATTTTGTGGCACCATATAATTCGACATTTATTTACATTTAAAACAAATTTATTATCATCCCACAGAAACCTGCAACCAACATTTTAGGATCAACACATTCCATAACTCTTTCAGCTCCAGGTACTTCTACAGCCACATCAAAGGGGAAATCACTGCTACTGCAAATCATCACAGCACTATTTTGAATTATGCTAAGTTTACAAAGGAAGTTACAACAAGGCAAGCCAGATTTCTTTAGTTTACCTTAACCAAATGTAAAAAGTAGAAGAAACACAATGTTGTGTTTGGGATTCAAGAGAAATCTATGACATGTCGCTTGGGGCTGAAAGAGGTAAAATAAAATAAATGCGGTGTGATGCTGTGTGCTAGTGGGGCACTGTGTTCTGTTGTGTTTTTTGAATGCACAAATTACATCTAATTCTTCTACGCTGACTCAAGGTGTATCTAATCTTTCCCTACTGGCTCAGGGTTGTACTCTAATCCTTATTCCCTGATTCATGGTTGTACTCTAACCCTTTTCTGAAACCTTCCTCTCTGTAGAAAACTGGCCCCTTCACTGTCTAACACAACTCTATTGCAAATTGTTCTTAATCCCTTCCCACATGTTCACCATAGATTACAGCATATCCCACAATAGTCATGGAAACACAGTCTATACATTTAATATTTCTCTATACGATGGCTGGATATCCACGACTCCGTTCAGTAGAATGCAACAAGTTCACATGTTGCAACTCTCATTCCACCTGCCACTTTTGAAAGAAATCATTGCCCTTGTTGTCGACAACGATGAAAGCTGGGAAATTCTCCACCTCTACCCTCCAAATAGCCTCCATACCTGAAACGAATAATACAAACATGTAGAACCACATGTTTTAAATACAAATTTGATTATAGTGACATCCTGTTCAACCCTTGTTGAGGTATAAAAGCGGGACATATTACTTGTCACTTTATTTAAACAACTCATGCTGGTTGGTTGAGTGTGAATTCTCATTTTAGTCCCTGTTTTGCATCTCTCTCTCTCTCTCTCTCTCTCTCTTTCTGTCTCTTTCTCTTTCTGTCTCTCTCTTTCTCTCTCGTTTTTTCAAGATGTGTCCAATTCAGTTTCTTCTGTCACATAACTGTCCTAACCGATGGCTACCCAGACATCTCTCTTGTTTCTTCACCTCTCTTTAATTCATCCCCTTTTATGTTCAACAATTTCCTCAGGCATTTAACTTTTGTTGCATCTTTTTAGTGGTTCTCCAACTTTCACTGGCAAATGTTAAAACTGAAATAACATTAGAACTGAAAATACATAACTTGGTTTTAAAACAAATACAACCCTTTCCATTGAGTTCCATACTTGTTCAAGATTTTAAAAGCTGCTATTGCCTTGTCAGTGTATGTCACCAATTCTTTCTTTTGTATCTCCTTGACTACCTAAATAAGTAAATTTGTCACTTTAAATCTTTTTTTCTCTAGTGTTACATCTGCTTGATCTAAGCATTCTTGGTTAGTTGCGTATCCTTTACAGGACGTTGCAGAACCAACCCCAACAGCCCCTGGCTGTTGTGTGGTTTCTCTAGGCAAATTTACGTCCAGTACTTTGCCATTGCTTTCTGGATGGTCAGCCCCCTGATACCACTGTCGAAACCAACGCAAGGCACCTCGACATTACGAAGCGTTCTCATTGACTTAGCCACAGAGCCGACTCTAAGCATTATACATGCCAAAAATACAAAAAATAAAGAAATGATAACTCTCTCAATCCAAATGCAGGCATCCTCCAAACATGGAAGTGTCCCATTAGATTTTTAAACCCTAGAGAATCCCAGGAAAATACCTGCTATAATTAACTGCACTTTTACTTGTCCCACTGACTTTTTATTCATACTTGATCAGCCGAGTAAACTTCTCTAAAGGTCACAGGGGTGTTGCCGTGGCTGTGTCTGATCTGTGTCATTTTATGACACACATTTATGACCTTAGGACATCCAGAACTCACTCTCCTGTGACGTGACCTCTACACTACAGCTAGTTAGCGAATTTAACAACCACACACAATCTGCAAATTAGGCCTAACCCAAACCCCATTCAGGAGAATCTCCAAATGTGGGAGTTTCCCATTAGAGTTTTAAACCCTAGAGAATCCTTGAAATATACCTGCTATAATTAACTGCATTTATACGTATCTGTTTAGGCAGGCACTAACTTTAAATATTAAATGAAACAATTCAGAGCTGGCTAAAACAATTAAGTAAAGGGAAAGGTAACATCTGTATGATCCATACCTAGCTCTGGGTACTCCAAGACCTCAACCTTCTTGATGCAATTCTGAGCAAGTATGGCAGCAGGTCCACCAATAGAGCCCAGGTAGAAGCCTCCAAACTGCTTACATGCAGTTGTCACCTGTAGCAGAAACATCAGTTCAAGAGAACAGTCAGTGAAAGTAAACACCTGCAACAATCACAGCCTAGCCTCTAACATAAGTCAGAAACACACTGGTTTGTTTTAACCTTAGTTTAGTTACTTCAAACTGAATGTAAGCAGCATTTATTACTTCTGTTATGTACACAGCAAATAACTCTAACATAGACTGGTACCTCACCTCTACATAAACCATGTAATCCTTAATTACCTCACCTGTATACATACTATATAATCCTTAACTTTTTGAGTCCCAGGGAGTTTAGTATCACAGGCCCAAGGCATAGTGAAGAAAGTAATAAATCAGTGCATCATGCGTTCATTGGGCTTCTAGGTATGAACCTATGAACGTATGATGCGTTTCTTGGGGCTCAAAGAGTTAATTAACTCACTTATATACAAAAATTCTAAATTATCTCACATGTATAAAAAATCTTTAATTACCCCCCCCCCCCCCCCCCCCCTTCTACACAAACCGCATTATCCTTAATTACCTTACCTGTATAAAAACGACATCATCCTTAATTATCTTACAAACAACAAAATGCTTAATTAGCTTGAAAGTAACACAATAAATTCCTCAACTGTCATGGTGCATCAAAACTCATCAATATTTATTTACCAAAACTGTAAACTTGTAAATCCAGGCAACTTAGCCTCACAGACAGACATCACACAAAGACAGACATCCCACAAAGACAGACATCTCACAAAGACAGACATCTCACCTGTTTGCTTCTGTTTCCCTTTGCTAACATAATCATGCTGCCTCCAGCCTTCTGAAACTCTGCAACATATGAATCCATACGGCCCGCTGTTGTAGGCCCAAATGAACCACTAGCATAGCCCTGTAGATAAACACAACAGCAAACGACATGGTATCAAACTTGAACAGTGTACCAACCACCCACATACACATTCACAGGTCACCACCTACAAGTCACAAAGTTGATTTAATCAGTACTCCCTGTGTGGGTTCCAGGGCCTCATTGTGTGAAAGACATGAATAAATCCACTGCCCTTCTAAAAACAAGTTGTAAGAGTCTAATAATTAATAGAGAGCTTCCTTCAAAGTCGGAGTGCATTTGCCTGAGAGGCAAGGAACCAACAGTCTGCATCCACATGAGTCAGATCTTTAAAACAGGTGTCCACATAACGCTCAGGTTCAAGAAGTGGACAAACAACCAGAACTTTCTGCCGGAGTTTACAACCGGTGAACACAAAGAAAAAGAATTTAATTAGTACTTCTCCTCCCCTAGTACTGTGGCTTCTACTGTCAAGTTCAATGGTTGTGTAAATGCAAGTCTATATTCATTACGGAATATTTATAGCTCTCAGTGACAATCCTGACCTAATCGTCAAGTCAAATTCTGGGCAACAGCTGTAAAACAGTAACTCAAAGGTCTTTCGTTTGAATCTACGCCATCACTGATTTTTATCATCATCTTTCATACAGCAACTTTATTTTTTATATCAAGCATATTGTGTCCATATATCAACATTTAAAGAATGACTGTAAATTACAAATTTTAAAAAGCATGGATGACAAATGCATACCTTAAACACATGCAAAGATACTCACACATCGCAGACAGAAACAAGCACACACACACATACATAACATACTTAGACATACAGAGGCGCACACACGGATGACACACACACATACACACAACATCAACAGGCATACACACAACATAAACAGGCATACACACAACATAAACAGGCATATACATAACATAAACAGGCATACACACAATCACAGACAGAACACAGACACAACACATACCCACAGACCCAACACACATACAAAGACAAACCACACAGAGACACAACATACACAGGCATATGTACTCTCACAGACACAACATACAGACACAACCAAAAGACACAGACACAGTACATACACAAAGACTAAACACAAGCACAATATCCAGTCTGCGGGTAAGGAAGTAAAGATAACCACACCACCAACTCAGTGACAAGTAAGAGAAAAAATATCAGCCTAGCTTAAAATTGCCTGATGCGGGATCTTTTACAACAAATTTCACTGTAAACTTCCAGCCAACATATTCTACAATCTCCTACAAAGAATGTCATATTTTGATTCAGAAAAGACTGGATGTAACAATTCGGGACTATCGTTTTGACAATTAATGATTGTAAAATATTACTTATTGTGCAGCTTTGTGGCTTGAGTTTAGTGGCATTGTTCACAACACAATCCTCGAGGCTTACCAGGATTCTATTCCTACAGTGGACGGTTTTAAAAAAAGACTGCTCTTGTCGCTTTCAGACAATTTATGTGAGTGGTAAGGACCCAAGAGTCTGCATTGAAATAAGGCAGATCTGTGAAAAGGATGTGCGTGCAATACATAGGTACTGGAACAACACCAAAGTCTGGAGATGGATGAAAACCTAGATCATTCCCCTGGAGTTTACAACTGGTGCATGTTAAGAAGAAGAAAAAGACAGTGGTACAACAGACAAGCCATGGAAGAGATCTGAATCTCACCACATAATATACCCATAGCAGCTGATGCATCGCAACAAACCTCCATTGTGGACAAAAGCACATTTGAAAAACATTTTTTATAAGATTGTTATAACTTCTAAATAGTAATAACAAATAAATCACTGACCTCTGGAGTCTTGGCCGGGCCAGCGTAGTAAACAGGATGATCCTTGAAGTACTGTGGCAAACCCTCCCCTTTATCCAGTCTCTCCTTGAGCTTGGCGTGTGCAGTGTCACGAGCTACAATCAGGGTCCCGCTCAAGCTCAGCCGTGTCTTGACGGGATATTTGTCCAGCAGCTTGAGGACATCTTTCATTGGTTGATTAAGGCTAACCTGTTTTGAATAAATTAAACCAAGCCTATACTTGTAATCCTTATGCTTTTGACCAGACACAACAATCTAAAGCAAACGCCGGAAGAACCTTTACATACCTCTTTTCATATCTTTATTTTCCTTAAACATGTGCTAACATATAACAACCTATTTTAACAACAGTGAGACTGATGCAGCGGGGAGTGACGAGAGGTTCTGGCAGATGCTCAAGGCTCAGAGGAAAGGCAAGACGGGCATTTAATCAGAATGCTACTGGCACCATTAGTATCGGAACTCTTCGCTGGCTGCTGAAGATGGGGACGGAGCGCTTATGGGGATGCCCCGAGTGCTGTGATGTCGGTTCTTGAATCAAATCAATCAAATCAACAACAGTGAAAAGATAAAGGGTGTTTTTTTTTAAAGTCTCACTAAACTGTAAAAACAGAACAAATTTGAAAAGAAAAAAAGCAACTGTTGACTCAATGGTACATAATATTAGGGACTAGGTTTGTTGTAAAATACAAATCACACTGTTTATGCTTTGGAACTAACATAGTTTATGCTGCCAAACCCATATCTGTTTAGACATACTGGTACTCAACTGGTAATGTAGTCAATGTCACGCCGACCGCCTTCCCTTCCCAGGCTGTGTGTCAGCACTCATCTCAGGCTGGATCAACTGCATTTACAGTGCTACCACTGGCTATATCCCTCCCCCCCCCTCACTCACTCATGCACATGTGTGTTTGCATGCACACACACATCAATTTGTTGGTTTTAAATCGGATCCATAATTTCTTTTTAAACCTCACCACCCTTAGCAGCTGTTCACTGCCCCCTGGATCTTTCCACTACTCTCAGGATTTAACCACCATTTCAGCCCCTAGATCTGTTCCCTACTCACATGTGCCTCAGGCCAGGCATACATGTGGAATTTTCTTGGAGAAACTGTATTTTGTGTGTAAATATAGCACCACATATTCATATCCTGATGAAGGCTTTATAGCCAAAATGCTCATTAGTCGTTTGTGATTCTGGTAACGTGAAGCTACTAGTTGTACTTTTAATTTGCTTTGATATCTTTTTTTAGTCGAGCTGAGACAACAAGAGAAACTACACCACACTGCCACTTACACTGACCACCTCTCCTCCGAGATCTCTGTCCTGCACTTCAGGGAGGTACTGACTAGGGTTGGTCTCCAGCTGCTCCAGAAACACACCATCCTCTGTGATCTTGCCCAGGATCTAAGACCACAAACAAAAGAACATTTACCCAAATGGAATAGCCGGAGACAAGACAGGCAAAACATACATCCCCAACAGAACAGTTGCCAAGGCAGAAAAATCATAATAACAAACAGAACAGTCACAGACAAGATAGATAAAGCATACATTCTTAACAGAACAGCTGCAGGAGAGAGAGAGAGAGAGAGATATATACTCACAAGCATGCGCACGCACATGTACACACACACTCTTTCGTTCTCTCTCTCTCTCTGTATCTCCAACAGAATCGTTGCAAACAAGAGGGACAGAAGCTTTCACATATACTAGGCTGTAGGAAGCATGACCGACACATCTCCCATCTCTTAACTAAAGGCCACTTGAGTACAACAGATCACGCTATGGTCAAAGATAAAGAGACTAACACAGCAGATACTGTTGTTATGGCATGAAGTCCTGGACTGGCATATGTTCTTCTGCATTCATCAGAAGACACAAATATTTTGTGCCCATTTATAACATGGATGTGATATTTGTGCCTTTCAGTCAACACAATGAACTTCTGCAGACATTCGTTGCCTGGGTTAGCCTTCCCAGTTAGTTTCGAGAAAGACTACAGTTTCATTGTTGTGTGTTATCTTTTTATCCTAGTCCACAGGTACTGCCCACCATCAGGCCGGTCCAGGGCAGCCATCAAATGCTGGTCACCCCTCAAGAGAAGGCAGGGGCAGAACATGAGCACTCCCCACCAGACAAGGAGGCTTCTATGTTTATGTTTATTCAATGGATCAACATCATGACACACCGGTGTAACCTATAAGTGCTCCATTCAAGCCTGAGTCTGAAGAATCCCAGCACAGTGCACAAACTCTGTTGCACTGGCAAGGATCCTGAAATACTTTGGGTAGATTTTTAACTAAAAATTTTGCGCGGACAGAACTGTTACGCTACTCTTTTCGATTTCCAATTGCCAATGGATTTTTTACGTGCACAACAATACACGCAGGCATCCAGTCTTACAACCCAGAGACCAGGGGAAATTACTAGAAGTCCGCCAGGCCAATAAATTTGGTCAGACACTAGGCTCAAAGAAATCGTCACGTCCTGCTCATGACTGTCCACTTCCCTATAATAAGCTTCTCACTTATTACCAGGTATGTCTTTAGAAACCAGCAGGAAGCAGCCTTTCTTGCATTTCCTTACCAGAAACATACACTCTCCTATTTTATGAAGCTGTACAAACATCTTTCAACTAGTTTTAATTTGTGTTTTTGTTTTTAATCTTTAATTGTAAACTATAGGCAAACATCTGGACAAAGATACAGCCAGGTTTTCTGCACTACCCACCTGTCTATCAGCTGAGCAGGACACGCCAAGGCCAACCGGGCATGAAGCACCGTGTCGTGGCAGACGCACAACTCTGACATCATGGCAGAAATACTTCCCTCCAAACTGAGCCCCAATGCCCATCTGCTGCGTCAGTTTTAAAATCTTATCCTCCAAGTCCAGGTCTCGAAATGCTCGGCCATGTTCATTTCCTGAAGAAAGTTCATTCCAATGTTTCAAAGCAAAACAATCTCCGTCGAAAATTGTATGTTTCTGATGGGACTATTTTTCTGTATGCATGAGAATGTTGACAGTGAGCAATAGTGAAGAAATTGAAAGCAGCGATGTGGGGTTGTTCTTGTTTTTATTTTTTTTTTTTACATTTTATTAATTTTTATTTCAGAAGAATGTCAAGAAAATCATGGACAAGAAAAGAAACCTAATGCTGAGAGGTATTAACAGCGAGATGTTACTAGACATGTTACTAGACATGTTACTAGATCATTTACCAAAACCACAAGCAAAGATAGAACATTTATGGGATAATCCCAGTATCAGTATCGGTTACGAGGCAACCATTTGGAGGGGAGGGGTAGGGGGTTGAACTGACCAATTGCCTCCCTATCGAGCATGTTGTAAAAGACGACTAATTAAGGATTTTTTTCTGAGAAATTAGAGCGTGGCTGTCTAAGAGGCGAAGAACAAACAGTCTATATTTAAATGAGCCAGATCTGTAAAAGGGATGTGCATGCAAAAATTCAAGTTTTAGAGCACGATTAAAGCCCAGAAGTGTATTAACAACCAGAATGTTCTGCCGCTGAACGATAAAAAGAAGAAGATTTATGGGACATGTCAACTTTTAAAATAACAATAAGCAAATCAGAATTTAATTAAGTATATGGTCCTAAACTCAGAGGCTTAAAATATTTAAACAGCTCAATTTTCCTTACAGAGTTCACTAGTGGGTTGTGCAACGCTGCTGTAGGAACCTCACATCTGAATAGAGGCACACTAGCGTGTTACCAGACTAGGGTTCAGCATAGAACATACACAGTGGCTGGGGTCAGAACCAGCCTGGCAATGCTTTCTTCACAGGTTTCAATTAATTCCTTTCCCTATGAGGTTCTGGGTCCCCATTTTGAGGGGGAAAAGGAAAGAATCACCACCTCCCCCCAACCATAAATGGTGACTAATATTGAGTTTCCTTAAAGTGGATGTGTTAAATCAAAAGGCACAGATATCACAGCAACACAAAGTGCCATTTACCCTTATAAGGGGAGGGGGGCGGGGAACATTGATCAGATCTCCATGCGCTAGTGGAAAATTATTTTTTTCTTGAAACGATAAATGAAGAGAAAAAAAAATTGTAATTAAAGAAAAAAAAAATTCTCATGCATACTCAAGATTCTCTCCTGCTCAGGTGGCAGTCCCAAAATACAAGACAACAATTTCACTGCTGACCTGTCGTAGGTAAGTTGTCCAGGTATTTTGTGGATGCCAGTTTGACAGTCTTGAGGGTGAACTCAGCAGAGGTGCCGCCTACAACAAACGCTAGGTGATATGGTGGACAGGCAGCTGTGCCCAGAGTCTGCGAAAAAAGTCACTGTCATGAATAGAAGGCATTACATTTTTTTTAAATTTTTGTTCACCAGTTCATTAATCTATTCTCTTCCTTACGACAGTAGCCTGGTTTTCATTCTCCGTTGTCAGTAATCTTCACGGCATCCAGTAGTCAGGTGTCACTTGCTGTGAAGGTGCTTCAGTGCAGGTACATTCGGTGCAACCTAAGTAAATTTGCTCCTGTAGAGAGACCTCCTCATCACATGAAAACAGGTTTGAATCCCTGTATGATAACTATAATCATCATCAATCAGCAGGTCTTTTACAGAAGAATGTCGCTCTCATTGCAGCAAGCCTAAAAGTTTATCTTTCATCAGCTAATTCTCCAGCCCTATGTGCTTTCATAGCCAATGCTTCTTTAGAGTCTTGTATCCACCTTCAAGAAAGGTCAGCCTCTGCCTTGTTTTCGGGAAACTGTACTCTCCATAACTATTCTCTCCAGGCCACAATGACATTTAACATGGCCCAAACACCTAAACTTTTGGGACAGGATGCTGTTTATGAGCCAATTCTCCCTGATGCTTAGATCATGTAGGATGTTGGTGTTTTTCTTCTTTTTGGTCCATGATATTTTTAATATTTTTGGTAACTACAGCTTTCATTTTTATATTGTCCTGTGTGTCTTCCCCTCTCTTCTTCTTTCTATGACTGCTAGTCAATGCATATTAATTTGTTTATCCTGCTGTGTGAATGGCCTCAATGGTTGTTCAGCAACTTGCTTTAAATTACAGCAGAAGTATTTTTTTTTCGAAATCTACATGTCCCCAAAACTACTACTATTTTTGTCCTACTGATTACACCGTCAAGCGCAGACAAGAGTTACATTTAGTTCCCTGTCGTTTGCTAGTTGTGTAGGTTACATTAATGTCTTCTGCGTATCGTAGCGTCTCTTGCATTATCTCCACGAATCTCTTTTTTGGTCTGCCTCTCTTGCCTTTTAGCTTGCTGTAAACCTTGTAGTCTCCATAAAAAACATGAATAAATGAAGGTATTAATATGAAAATAATCTGATGGAGAACTCAAAAATGATAAATCAAATGTTGCAATACCTTAACTTTTTCATTGACAAATGCCATCAGCTTGTCTGGATTAAGTAAAGCTTTTGTCTGTTGATACAGAAATGTTTTGTTGGCTGAGCCGCCCCCTGTAGACAAACACAAACTATCATCAACAACGTGTGGGCTGGAGTTTGCTGGCAAGGAAATGACTTTAGCAACTTTAACTCCATATAGGTCAGTCCATACTGAACCACGACCTGGTTACATCTTAGTACATCTCCCTGAAAATGTAAGTTTCCTTACCTGCTCTAAACCATGTTCTGAGAGGGGAAGGAGAGTTCTGTAACACAGTCCCTGTGGAGATGATGCTTTGGTACCAGGCCAAGAATAAAGTCCTTTTACCAGCCTCACTATGGCACATGTATCATCTTTTCCAGTGACGTGGTCTAATCCATTTCTTCTTATTCTGCGTTCAACATCAGTCATGCTAAACATTGAGTCCCGTCTGGGTAAAAAAATAGGATTGTGCTTTTAAGGTCGCCACCAGTCCCCCTATAGCTTCTCTCACAATGTGGATCCCCTGGGCCAGATCCAGTCTTTGCTGGGAGAGGTGATCCAATCCATCACACGCCAGACTAAAATGAAAACTCAGTCTTCCAGGGGATACACAACCATCCAACCAATCTTTCAACCACTGTTCAGTAAAGATTTGCTATATCTAATAGGATACATTTAGTTGTCTTCCCCCCTACAAATGTTGTTTCTGGGTTAACAGCTGGCCGGTGACAGGAACTGGCTTTTCTTTGTTAAGAGCTGTCCCGCGACAGCAACTGTCAGTTCTTTGTTAAGAACTATCCTGTGACAGGAAATGTCAACGTATAACATTAACATTTTCAGCTGTAACCCTGTCGTCCCAGAAATTTGTGAATTAGGTATCTCCGCTTTTACAGCATTCCCGTAAAGGCAGCAAAACCAGCATGTCTGCAGTGAGCTGTTTCCGAGATCACAGTTTCTTCTTCGTGTTCACCAGCTGTAAACTCCAGTCAGCAGAAAGTTATGATTGTTCATCCAGTAAACTCCAGCCAGCGGAAAGTTATGGTTGTTCATCCAGTAAACTCCAGCCAGCTGAAAGTTATGATTGTTCATCCAGTAAACTCCAGTCAGCTGAAAGTTATGATTGTTCATCCAGTAAACTCCAGTCAGCGGAAAGTTATGGTTGTTCATCCAGTAAACTCCAGTCAGCGGAAAGTTATGGTTGTTCGTCCAGTAAACTCCAGCCAGTGGAAAGTTATGGTTGTTCATCTAGTAAACTCCAGCCAGCTGAAAGTTATGATTGTTCATCCAGTAAACTCCAATCAGCGGAAAGTTATGGTTGTTCGTCCAGTAAACTCCAGCCAGTGGAAAGTTATGGTTGTTCATCCAGTAAACTCCAGCCAGCTGAAAGTTATGGTTGTTCGTCCAGTAAACTCCAGCCAGCGGAAAGTTATGGTTGTTCATCCAGTAAACTCCAGTCAGCTTCTTCTTCTTCTTCTGCGTTCGACATCAGTCATGCTAAACATTGAGTCCCGTCTGGGTCACAAATAGGATTGTGCGTTTAAGGTCACCACCGGTCCCCCATAGCTTCTCTTGCAATGTGGCTCCCCTGGGCCAGATCCACAGTCTTTGCTGGGAGAGGTTAGGGCAGTACTGCAGTATGTGCTCAGGGGTCTGTCTTTCTGCTCCACAATCACAGGCAGCAGATTCTTTTATGCCTATCCTGTACAGGTGTGCTCGAAGACCACAGTGTCCTGTCCGAAGTCTAAAAATTGATGTTTGTTCTTTCCTGTTGAGTTTGTTTATGCTGTCACTTTATGGTCTGTAATCTCCATTCTGCCTTCTCCACTCCTGCTTGAAAGACTGCTTTAGCGCTGTTTTGGTTTCCTTGTAGCTGTGTGGTGGACGAGGTTGTGGAAGATTACTCCCAGCTTTTGCCAACTCATCTGCTCTCTCATTACCTCACTTTAGCCAGCGGAAAGTTATGATTGTTCATCCCGTAAACTCCAGTTAGTGGAAAGTTATGGTTGTTCATCCAGTAAACTCCAGTTAGTGGAAAGTTATGGTTGTTCATCCAGTAAACTCCAGTTAGTGGAAAGTTATGGTTGTTCATCCAGTAAAATCCAGCCAGTAAAAAGTTATGATTGTTCATCCAGAACTCCAGTTAGTGGAAAGTTATGGTTATTCGTACACCTTTGGACATGGGGGGGGGCATGAACCAAACGGCTTTTTAAAGGCCAGGTTGATGTCATAATTTTCCTGTAACCTCAGTGATTGAGGTCAGAGCATGAGTCACTCAATAATTTTTTGTTTGTTTAGGTCCTGTCTAACGGATTCCATTAAATGCGTCACTCTGTTCCGTGGCTTAGGCGTTGCGAGTCAGACTCGTAATTCTAACGTACCACGATCAAAACCCACTACTGGTTATGTGGATTTTTACCATAGTATGGGGCGCCGCAGGTCGACCCAGCCTAAAATGGGTACCAGGATGGCTGTCCTGGGGAAGTAAAGATGGCCGGTGTAATGCTGACCACGTAACCCAGCTAGTGCCGATGGTCTGTAAAAATCTGGGCGTTCTTCCCATATACCCAAAATGCATATAGGCATGAAAAGGGATCTTTACTTACTTTACTCTGTTCACAATTACTGTATATATTTTTTTTGGGGGGGGGGGGGGGGGGGGGGGGGGGGGGGGGTAGATAAATACATGTTTTAAATTAATGACCTGTGTACAAAATTATTTTAAAAAATAATGTTTGAGGTTTTTTCATAGGTTCATGGCCCTTTTTTAAAAAGAGATTAGGGGCCGAAAAGGTTCAATAACTGCTGAGATATTTTAACAGGCAAAAGCAAACATTCAATCCAGATGATCGCACAATGAACACAAGCCATTATCTAACCTTTCGCAATGAAGAGAAAGTCATAATAGTTGCTGCCCGTAGAGTAAATTTCGATCTGTGCCGGGAGGTTGGTTTTTGTATTCACTTCTGTGTACATATCTAGTGGCGCTACCTGTGGGAATACCAACAAGGTGCTGGATTTAAATCAATGAAAACTCCCTAGGGTGAGGAATACGAGAGAACTATTGTCACGGCATCTAACTGGTTGAGTTGGTGTGGAGGTATTCAAGTCCAACTGGTCGTAAGCCAAATTTATATTATTCAACATTTTAAAAATTAAAGGGTTTACAAAGACCGTACATAAAACACACAAATTCAAACTATTTACATATAATTACTGTACATAATTAGAGAAATACATGATATGTAATCTACTGCATCAGTTCCATGACAATTCTAATGTAGGTGAATTCTTCATTTACTATTTGTATTTATTTATTTTTTGTGTTCGTAACATCAAATTGTCGTAGGTGATATAGGTCATTAGTCTAGGAGAAGGTGTAATTACCACATCATACAAACATGTACGCACACACACACACACACAAGATTCAAGGACATTCAGCTCTGACTAAACCTACAATATAAAAGTTGTCAATGGCCCCTGTAGTTTCAGGTTTAAATTGAGACATTCGAAAAAACTGACCAAGACTTGAGGTTGCTCCAAACTAAAACGAGTAAAAGGAAATTGTCTGGGAAGTAAAGGCAGCTGAGACAATGCTGACCGCATAATACACTGAGTGCCGATCAGACTATAAAAATCAGCGGTTAACACCATACACCCAAGAGGCTTCCCAGCATGCACTATGTGCACAGAGACTAGCAGATATTGATGATCTTGTTGCCTTGGTAAATAGAAGTATCCTTCTTTTTCCCCTTTAATAACAGCAATATAATTGAGAATATCATGGAAATAAATTATCTATTAACCATGTCACTCTATTAGAATGCTTAAAAAACGATTAGTTTTTCCCAAATATTGAAAGAAACAAGCCTTTATAATTTTCTGAAGCTCTTTTGAAACTAAAAGAAGAGAATATATAAAAATCCACAGGCTTGAAACCTGACCACCATGCAGACGGGCAAGCATGTTGGCCACTGCAAAATCACGGCTGCCATAGATTTGTATTTTTAGTCATTTTTACATTCAATTTTTTTGTCATAAAGGGAAATAATCACTATATACAAATGGGGCAAAGAAGTAACTGCTTTCCTTCACTCCGAGCCATGAAACTGTGTTTACACTATTCGGTTGCAACCAGTACTCAAGTTGTTAAATGTGCATAAATAATGGCCACTGCCTAAAGATGTCATAGAATCACAAACCCAAAAATGTCGTAACAAGAACTCTCTTGAGGTGAAAGGGTTAATCTTTAGCATTAAATCAGTTAGTAAAATTGATTTAAATTAGTCAGCTAAATTGGTTAGATGCTAGCCTCCTAGCTTAAAGGTTTTTGGTTTAAATCTGCTTTAAGTTGGACTTTTATATTTAAACTAGGTCTTCCAGGTCAACTCACCTAAAATAGGTACCAGGAATTGTCCTGGAAAGTAAAGGTGGTCACTGAGGCATGACTGTTCTCAATTATATGCTTTAAACAGCGCAAAAAGAGCAACATTTTTACTTCATACATGACTTTGTTAAATTGTAAGTTAAAACAAAATTGTTAAACAACAAAATGACACTAAGTGTAATACAGTGACTCTGAACAAACCACGACCACAAAAACTGACATCTAACATGCCTGTGAATAACGCAGGTTTTTCTTGGTGTATGTGTTGTATATCCCTCTAGAGATAGCTTCCATATCATTGCCGTCTGTCCACACATATTGACCTTTCTTGCCTGCCGTAATCAAGTTCAAATACATTATTAACCACAAAAGAACAAACGAAAATTCCTTGCATCTGTTCTTCTTCCTTATCTATTTCTCTCAAAGTTAAATAAATTCTTCTTCATCGGTCGTCCAAGTGTCATAATTGTGGTGTGTCTGTTTACAGCACAGCTGCGACATTTTCACCTTTTGGCCGACACATCCGACTTCATCTGGCATTGGTTCCCCGGGTTAGCCCTCTAGACTGTTTGTTACAAACTATTCTAAAGAACACAACCAATAAACAACAAATACCATACATATAATAATGATGACAATTTTGTTTGGTGCTGTTTATCCATTGTTAAACCAAGAGGATAACTTTGTGTACAATCGGTTGATTCAGATCTTCTTTTTCTTCTTCGTTCATCCAAAAATGGTCTCTCCTTTCAATAACGGTCCCAAATGATCTACGCAGAAAGTGAACCCAAACAGAGCCTCACTCATATCTAAAATTCACATTTCTTTTGCTCGGAATCAATCGTGTCAAAAGTAGGATTAATTGCGCATGACATTTTCGAGAAATGCAAGGGATTTTTTACGGCGATTACACGGCGGCAAAACTAGGATTAACTACGGACGAAAAAAATTAGTGACACGCGAGAATACTCCTGATAGCCCTATCCCACGGCAGGGCCTGAGTTATATGTAAGTTGCGGACCGCTTTTTGCGACTATAGTGCCACCTCCGAGAGTATACCCCGCGCCGCTACGCGAGGCGCGGAAAGGGCTAAACTAGATGGCTAGGATTCACGAGCAGCAGCTACCGCAGCTTCCTCCAATTTATTTCCTCTGAGTCCCAGCCATCTGATTTAGCTACGCGCGGCATGGGGGATACTATCGGAGTGGCACTATAGTAGCCGGAAAAAAAGTCTACAATTTACAGGAGCTACTTCTTCTGTCGGAAGTACCAGCATGCTCGCATTCGCCACGGTCAAGTGGTGGTCGGGATAGTGGAGAGCCATCATGGCGGCTGCTGGTTTGAAGTTGTCCTGAGGCGACATGCGCATACATTAAACTGCGCATTTACATCATGTCTCATCCGGAACGAGAATCGCGGACAAGCCGTGCTGAGTTACAATGGTGGACAGTGAGACAGAACAGATATTCCCGCACTATTTGCAACTTCTGTGCTACAATTTTCACATATAAAGGATTTAATTTTCGGTAATTAGTAGACTTTGCCCTTTTCCTTACACTTTTCGTTCCGAGTTACAGCTTTTAAATGTTTGTAGGGCAGGACGTAATGAGGCTCTGTTAGGGTTAACTTTCTGCGTAGATCATTTGGGACCGTTATTCAAAGGAAAGCCCAAAAATGTAATTGTGTTGTGCCCGTTTAAAGCATGGCTGCAATATTTGCACTTTTCAGCCAAAACATTCGACCTGGTGGCATTTGTTGACCGGGTTAGCATTCCCGATGGTTCAGATCTTATCACTAAGTGTTGTTGGGAGCTGTAGTTTATATTCTGTGGCAGATGTGTTGTACTAGCTAATGACATAAATAGGGGATTTCATACACATTCTTACTTATTTTGTTTCGTAATATAGCCCTTTGAATGCATATTTTCCCCCATTATTCATCTCTTGGTCTCGAGTAGACCTTTATGTTTTTTAAAAGCTCTGTTGTCATCCGTTGAATTTTCCAATAACAATTTATGCTATATTTAGTTCTCAGTTGATAAAGACTTTGGTCGAAATGTTCGGTTATATTTGTGAGCACTTTGTCCATTCCCTCTATTGAGATTTCTATCACATTTTATGTTGTATTTAGAACTTCTTGTACCAGCTAACGTAAGTCTGTGTTGTCATATGGTATTGTTGATATTATCGATTCCATATGAAATGGACTATAAGAAGGGTAACATACATGACTAAAGTATATGTGGCATCAAATGTTAACATACCCATACAAATGGCTGTCCCTGTATCTTGGCAACCTGGCAATACCATGCCAGCTGCCACATTGGCATTCTTCAAGAGTTCCAAAGCAACAAATTTGTCATTGGATGAGGATTCTGGGTCTTTCAGAATGTTGGCTAGTTGCTGTAAAAACAAAATGTGGAATAACTGCTTCAGACATTTAAAAGTTAGTTGCGTATCCTTTACAGGACATTGCAGAACCAACTACAGCATTTTTCGGCTGTTGTGGTTTTTCTACGCAAATAGTTTATGTTCAGTAGTTTGTCACTGCTTTCTGAACAGAGCAAGAGTAAGATAAAAAATAAGAGAGCCTGACATGAAATATCAAAGAATTCCTTAATAAAAAAACATAAATAAATTAGAATGGCTGAGAGGTTAACCATCTGCTTCTAAATAAAACATTTCATAGTTGTAACTTCTTCTTTGCGTTCACCAGCTGTAAACTCTGGTAGAAAGTTCTTGTTATTCATCCACCTCTGGACTGCAGTCCTGTTGTAGAGCCTGAGTGTTGATTGCACATCCGTTTTACATATATGATTTATTTCTATGCAGACTGTTGGTTTTTTGTCTCTCAAGCAGATGCACTCCGACTTCAAAGGAAGCTCAAAATCCATCGACTTTTACGACATGCTTTTAAGTAAGCCATGGGTCTATTCTTGTTTTCCCTATAATAGAGTCCCGGAACACACAGGAGAAACAGTTGTAACTGACTCACAGAGCATGTTGAGAAAGGTAGAGACAGGTATGCTCCACACAGAGTGGCAAACATCACTTCAGAAGTCCCAGGTAGTTAGCGTCCTTTGGATATTTTCTCCAGGTCATGACGGTGTGTTGGGGAATGAACAGGCAGACAGACTGGCTCGTTCTGTGCCACATGGTGCAGAAATGATGTATGACAAGCTATATGTTTTAAGAGTTCTTCTGGAAGTGAGTGAACAAGTGCAGAGACACAAACCAATCATCATGGTCTGAGGAATATGGTGCTGTGAGAAGTGACCTGTGGGCCGAGGCTCACCACTCAAGGGAAGAGACGAGATGGATACACAGTCACACTGTTACTGGTACCATCAGAACTGGAACTCTGCACTTGCTGATGAAGATGAAGAGGCAGCACTTACAAAAATGTCCATTGTAATGCTAAGTTGATTCTAAATTCAGCATACAATTAGTTAGCTAGTCTTTCCTCTTGTGTCGAGTGCGGCACATAGGGCAGAGGTCATGACTCTCCATGCATGGCGGTTCGTTGCAATCTGTTGTAGGTCTTGGATGTTTGAGTGGCCCATGAGTAAGCCTTCCCTGATGATAGTTCTACGTATACAATAATGTAGCTTAATTTTTTTTTTTTAATGAAAGTTGTGGAAAATTTATTTCAGAGGTGTTTTTGTGTGTGTGTGTGTGTTCAAACTTCTTCTGTGTTGAAGATAGAAATATTTGATCCTGCCCTCAATTTACAGGAGCTATTTAATAATTTACCTGCAGGTGTTTTGGCCTCAGGAGGTGAGCAACATCGATCATAGCATTCTCCGAGATCAAGGTCAAAGCCTCTGGCTCAACAGTCAGTAACTTCTTTCCCTTAAACTCTGTTGTTGAAACAAAGTCACCTGAACAAATATCAATGTATAAGAATGAGAGATGAAATTTTATTTTTATTTTTCATGCTTAATTAAGGGGTTGGTACATTGTAGTTTACTGCTAGGCTGTGACATCTGCACCTTTCAGACCTGTACATCCAATTTTTGCAAATCTTTTAGCTTTCTTATTTTTAATGTTCACCAGCTTTAAACTCCGGCGAGAAAGTTCTGGTTGTTCGTCCACTTCTGGACTCTTGTCCTGTTCCAGAAACTGAATGTTGCGTGCACATCTGTTTCCCAGGTCTGACTAATCTGCATGCAGACTGTTGGTTCCTTGCCTCTTAGGCAGATGTACTCCGACTTCAAAGGAAGCTCCCATTTAGTCAACTCTTACGACATGCTTATGGGCAGGCAGTGGGTCTATTCTTGTCTTCCCCATAATGGAGCCCTGGATCCCACAAGGGAAAAATCTTTTAGTAATTTGTATGCCTTGCTTGTTAAGAGCCAGTAGGTATATTCTCTTTTTCTTCCAAATCGAGCCCTCAAACTTGCATAGGAGATATGGAGTAGTTTAAAGCAAACAAAATGGTGTTCATAAGTGGCAGATTCAACTACAGAGCACTGGGCTGTATCTGACATGGCTCAGTCTCTCATATTTCAACTACACCCAGTTGCTGTTGTTTGTTTGTGTTCACCGGAGGTAAACCCCAGCAGAAAGACCTGCTTGTTCGTCCATTTCTGGACTCTGGCTTTGTTCCATGATCTGAGTTGTGTGTGTGCATCAGTTTTACAGATCGTTCTTATTTTTATGCAGACTGTTGGTTCATTGCCTCTCAGGAAGATGGACTCCGACTTTGAAGGAAGCCCCCAATTAGTTTACTTTTACTACATGCTTGTTGGGGAGGCAGTAAGTCTATTCTTGTTTTCCCCACAATGGGACCCCGGAACCCACAGGGGAACATCCAGTTTTAACCTGGGTCAACCCTGGAGCTCGGGTAGATCTACTTTAATGATCTCTGACCCTCTTTGCTCTGCGTCAATTTTTTACAGTGGTATGGAGTTGCAGCCATTTAGAAAGCAACAGCTACATCACATGAAATTAGTGAAATCACAGACAGCCAAAACATACTAAGGCTGGATCTTCAACATCTGGTAAAGGATATGCAATAATCTTTTTTATTTTTACCGGGTACAGTCCCGGGAAGTAAAGGCGGCCGGCGTGATGCTGACCACATCACCCATCTTGTGCCGATTGGTGTATAAAAAAAATATAGGTCTAGCCCTATATGCCATATATACCTAAAGGTGCGGAAAAGGGACTTTTACTTTACTTTTTTACTGTTGTTGTAAATGGCAGCTGAACACTGATCACCAGTCAGGCAGGCAGGTACTCTAGGTGGCCACTGTACTACCTGAGCTGCTCTCAATGGTAGTTATTTTTAACGGTTCTAAATATGAATACATCAGCCAACAAAGTCCTGACACATGCAGCTAAGGAAAAGAACAAATGCAACCAGTAACCTGTCAGTTTTCTATAGGGAACATCGGGCTTCTGCTGTAGTTCTAGAATATCTTGAAAATAAAATGGCTTCACGTCTGGAGCAACAGTTGCCATAGCGACAGAAGGCGCCAGTTTCCGTCGAAAATGACTGCCCAGCAGCTGAGAGGCACCAGAGATACATGTTCTACCACTTCCAAGATACATCGCCTGGAATGTACATATTTTATATTAAACCCATATTCTACAACTGTATATGAAACACTGATATGCTGTAGATTTAAAATACACCAAAAAAAATGTTCCTATTGCTCATTTAATGGAAAGCTGTTTACATTCCCATTCTTTCCAACTGCAGAGGGTTTTTTAACCTGTGCAATCAGTCTTTTGCCCATATCCGAGGAGGCCAGACATCAAGTCACTAAGCCCCGGTCCTTGAGAGGAAGTAGGAGAGGGGTGTGTGTGTATATATATATATACTCCCTTCTCCTACTTTCTCTACAGAACCTGGCTTAGTGACTTATATATATATGTATAAATATATATATATATATATATATATATATATATATATATATATATATATATATATATATATATATATATATATATATATATATATATATATATATATATATATATATATATATATATATATGTTATATATGTATATATATACTGTTTAAAAAAAACAAATGCATAATTATCCGACGGCCCATTTTTATTAGTTTGTAAATAAAATATCTTACTCGGGTATGGGAAAAGCAGTCTCAAATGTTGTTTACAGTGTCCAATGGACATGAAATGCATGGGGTTTTTGTATTCGTTACAACTCATTGGTCAGTTGTGTTTAAGACAGCTGGACAGCTGATAACCATTCATGTTTATTCTCCAACAATGTCCTCTCCATCAAAGAATATCAAAGGATAAATGCGTTTGGGTCCTAGCTACATTCACAAGCATCTTGGTACTTAACTGAGATACAAAGGAGAAAATGACTCATTACAGTGAATGATACAACAATGGCATTCTATATATAGGACATACATGTATGCAAAACATAGATCTCTCCCCCTCCCCATCTCATTCTTTCTTTTCACCTCCTCTCTCTCCCCTAAATAATTTTGTTTTGGAGAGTAAGTAGCATGTCCTTTATTTATAAGGTAACATAAATAATCCATGACAGTATGACAAAAATGGAAGATAACACAAAATGGGACAGGAACCTGTGAAAGGAAGGTCAAGGAAATGGCCTGTGTATACAAGTAACAATGGAGAAGATGTTCTTAAAAAGCCATAAGAGTATGTTGTAACTCACTTGCTAGCTCACTTGGAAAACAGTTTCTCCAGTAAATCTGGAAATGAAAGAGAGAAACACGCCAACCAGTCCCTAGCTGAGATGGCATTCAGGCTATAATTTCTAGGTGTCTACATCAAGAGGTCCACATTAAACAGTTTCGGATTGAAGGAAATCGATCTAAGAGTCTTAATACATTCAAAATTTACAAACATGTTAAATGGGGATAATGATATTTTTCTCTCTCTCTCTCTCAATCCATTTCTGGCAAACTGAGCCCATACACACACATTTGCTTCTCTCTCTCTTTCTCCTATGTTTGCATTTGTCTCTAGCTGGCTTTCTGAACCTTCTTCCAAGTTAGGAGTCTTGTTTAAATCAATGACAGACAGATTCATTGAGGTACTGGAGCAAGTATGATAATGTTACCACACAACTGACCCAACTACGGCTGCCGGTCTGTTTTAGTTGCAGGACAAAAAGGACACAAGTGAATATCTCATTGAAGTGGAAGCATTGGTAGTAAATTAGTTGTGCAGAAGAAGACGTGGGATATGGGGTGACTGGGTGCTGTATGAAAGATGCAAAGATTTTAAAATAAATGACAAATCTGAAAGGGGTGAAAAGAGCCTATTGAGACCTAAATATCCTACACATGATTAATCTGAAAATGGTTGTTGGATTTTGTAGTGAAAGATATCTAGTAATAGTAATTAAGGCAAGAGTTGAACATTTTCATGTGATACATAGCAAAATTTTTAGCATCCCACACCAAGTGTCTCTAGCAATTTTATACGGGTATCTTTTGTGGTTGTGGGTAAACTTCAAGCGTTTAGAAGGATTGCAATGTATATATAGGTTGGGCGCTTCTTTGAATCGTTCCCCAAAATGGCGGCTTTAATATGATAGCGTTCAAAAAGGAGCTAAATTGGCCAATTTCTGGCCATAAAATATCCAAAAATATCAGAATGTGGGGCCAGTTCTATTAAAAATATATGTGCCGGCTCCGAATAACGAAACAAATGCTCTGACAGGGTCTCGGCGATACGTTGCTTGCCGACCTACTTCTGCGAGTGTGCCTCACCGCCGAGCGTATCCCCCGCGGATGGGGGCTAAACTAGATGGCTGGGACTCACGAGTGACAGCTACTGCATCTCCTGCAACTTCCTCCAATTACTGTACTCGTGAGTCCCAGGCACCTAGATACGCTCGGCGATGAGTTAAATCACATTTGGCGCATGCCGATAAGTCTGACATCTACCGCTGCTAAATCCTCCAATCGGAAGAACACAGTATTGCTAATCGTTTTCATCGTCTGTAATGTCTCGAAATTGGTCAACGGTCGCTAATATCGTCTGCTAGTATCGTCGTCGCAGAAACGCTCGAAATTTTTGTCAGCTGTCGGTATTTATCGTCTGCTACTAGTACCGTGTGCAATGTTGATAGTGATTGTCAAGTAATCCTAGTTTTTGCCGCGATTTGTCCCTTGGCAGACAGTCCGTATTTTAGATTTACGGGAACACCGTCATTCGGATAATTTTAGATATTTTATTGCCAGAATGTGGCATGCCGCCATTTTGGGGAATGGATCAAAGGAGTGCCGTAGGTTGTTTTGCCTGTATATGTTTTTAAATATTTCTACAGTAACATTCTTTTTTTTTAACTTGGAGTGTATCTCTCACTGTATCTCTATCAAATATATATGTTCTTCAGTCTCCTGTGTGTGTTTTGTACGTAAGAGGCATGGCAGTTCCTTCCTGAGTCTTGTGCCTGCCTTTCTCATTCTGTTGTTGTGTCATGTTGAAGAGGAGTCTAGGATCTCTGGGACTTTATGTGCTATGTATGTGTTTGTTGTGCAGATTAGTGAAGGAGCTGGTTTAATCTTCATAAAATATTAGCAGCCACGTGTAGTGGGGGAAGGGCTTGTTTCTCATTTTAACTAAGTAATTGTATACCATAATACTGAGCTGAAAACGGGACATCCCCCCAACAATATTTTGAGATTACGTGACGGATATAATGCGGCCCGTAGGTGCAATTTTAGGGGCGTCTGCAATTCTGACAAGATTATGCAGTCATCTTTGAGCGGAATATTTTATCTGTGTAATTTAACTATCACTCTAAGTGTTGTTAATGAGAAACAGCAGAGATAAGAATGCTACCTGAAATGATTATGTTGGAAAAGTTTCAGTTTTCTGGATTCACATTCACTAGAAGAACGTCGACCTTCCAAGCAGACGGGAAGTGGGGGTTAAAGGTTACGTTTATCGAGTCGACAACTGCTTCCGGGATCACATCACAAGTTTATTTTTTTTATTTTTCCATTTCTTCCTCCTCTTCTCCCAGTGTAGGTGTGGGTTCCGGGACTGAATTGTGGTGAAAATAAGAATAGTCACTGCGTACCCAAAAGTCTAAGAGGCAAGGAACCAACAGTCTGCATACAAATGAGTCAGATCTGTTGAACGGATGTGCACGCAAACTTCAGGCCCTGGCTCACGACTGGAGTCCAGAATTTGACGACCAACCAGAACTTCCCTCGGGAGTTTACAGCCCATGAACGATTGTCAGTGTGTTCTTTCGAATGCCTTACTTATATAAGCTGGTCATCATTTCTTTAAGGCAACAGCCTTCTGCCTCGTGCACTTTCATTCACTTTTGATACACGATATTCCATGCCATGAGGTCAGACTGGCTGACATCTTCTCTCCGGGTCTCTCTCTCTCTCTCTCTCTCTCTCTCTCTCTCTCTCTCTCTCTCTCTATCTCTCTCTCTCTGCCTCTTTTCCCTTCAGCTTTCCCACCATCGCGATGTACTCCAGATTTCTCCTCAAGGCAAGTAATGTTAGTACCTGATTTGCATTTGCACATCTTTTAATGATATCTCTCTCCATTCTTTCTCTTAATGTGAAAACTGACCCTCGGTTTTTAAATGTACTCGTTTGTTTTATGTCTTTGTTGTTTACTTTAATTGATATGGTTTCTTAATGAATGTGTCTTTTTGTTTCTTCAATTTCTAAAGGGTAGGTAGGTAGTTGTACACCACCAGGATATCACACAAGCGATAAACACCCGTTGACACAAAGTGAGGATCACCCACAGAGAGGTCCCAGAAACCCCTTTCAGCCGTTAGGCCATATCTATGGCTAGGCCATATTTATAACCCAGCTATATTCAGAGCTATAGGGAAAGGCTGGGGGGGGGGAGAAGGGGGTCTTCAAAAAACAAATAATGGCATCCCACGAGGAGACAACTTACATTGAATGTATCTTAGTCTTTTAATTATTTATTTGCGTAGTTTATTTCGCACATTTGGTGTTTCCATTGATTGTGATTAATACTTGGCCATCCGTTAGGCCATATCTATGGCTAGGCCATATTTATAGCCCAGCTATATTCAGAGCTATAGGGAGAAGCCGGGGGGGGGGGGGGGGGGAGGGGGGAGAAGGGGGTCTTCAAAAAACAAATAATGGCATCCCACGAGGAGACAACTTACATTGAATGTATCTTAGTCTTTTAATTATTTATTTGCGTAGTTTATTTCGCACATTTGGTGTTTTCATTGATTGTGATTAATACTTGGCCATCCGCAAATAACAATTCCGAAATAGAATTTTTCTCTTTGCTCTCTGCTTCTTTGCATACATTGCCCATGTTTTAATTTCCCTTTGTTCACTGTTTCTTTGCATACATTGTCCATGTTTTAATTTCCCTTTGTTCACTGTTTCTTTGCATAAATTGTCCATGTTTTAATTTCCCTTTGTTCACTATTTCTTTGCATAATTTGTTCACGTTTTAATTTCCCTTTGTTCACTGTTTTCACGCTTTTAAAAGAATAAGAGATAGTACTGTCGTACTCCTAGATTTAATTCAAAAGACTTTGATTAACCTGGTTTTACTAGGAGTGCTGCCGT